CTGAGACACTCAGGCACCTCTTACTACCCTTCTTTCCTTCTCCCAGCTTTTGTTGTAGATAACACTATCTACATACTCTTTGTTGTTGTATGGCCTTAAGTCGTTTCTGACTTAGATGGCGATCCTAAGGTGAACATTTATTGGGGTTTTCTTGGCAAGATTTATTCAGAGGGGGTTGCCTTTACCTTCCTCTGAGGCTGAGAGCATGTGACTTGCCCAGGGTCCCCCAGTGGGTTTCATGGCCCAGCTGGGAATTGAACCCTGGTCTCCACAGTTGTAGTTTAATGCTTAAACCACTACACCACACTGTCCCTCATCTCTCTGAACTTAGTTTCTGCAGAAATAAACCAACAATAACCACCTATATCATCCAAAACATGGGGCAGGAAAGATGATGATGTTGATTTTATAGATTGATTGACCAAGATATATGGGCCATTTCGCAACCTCGCAGAGTTGCACTGGAGGACCTAGAAATTCTTAGAGGGAAATTATTAATCAAAGCCGCAAATAATCAAAGCTGCAGATGTGGAGGGCTGACTGTATATGGTTGTCCTAGGCCCAAGAAGGAAGGAAGGAAGGAAGGAAGGTACTCTGGGGACATCCATCCCCATGGTCAGAGAAGAGGAGAGGGAAGCAAAGCTGTTCCCGGATACGCTGTTTTGTTTTCAAGACACACACATCAGGTCTACCTGGCTTCTTTGTGGTGCTGGACATAGAGGGGTTGGATGGAAGAATGAGCATTGTATAGACCAGGGGTAGGCAACCTTTTTGAGCCGGGGGCCGGGTTGCTGTCCCTCAGACAATTGGGTGGGCCGAAGCACCAAAAATAAATAAATAAATAAATAATTTTTTAAAAAAATAAAAAAATATGCATGCACACTCTCTCAGCCCCAGAAAAGCCATGGCAGACCCCCTGTGGAGATTTTGCCAAGAAAACCCCGAGAACAAGTAATAACAACAATACTCAATATCATCATGGTGGGGGGTGGCGGCGGCGGTGGTGGCAGGGGCGGGGGCGGGGGCAGGACCGGCCTGGGGCCAGTCCAAAGGCCTTGGGGGGCCGTATCCGGGCCTTAGGTTGCCTACCCCTGGTATAGACTCTGCACAACCTTCCCTGCCCAGCTAGGGCACCATGCGCTTTAGTACTGCAGTGGGCTGCCCCTGGAATAGATTGGCATGCTTAAGTCTATGCACCACATTGAAATCAATAGAATAAGTCCGTCACCATTGAGGAACTGCTTCAGCAGCAGTGGCAGCAGCTTTATTTATACATGAACTTTCCCTCAAACCTAGCACTCAAGGCAGAGTACAGATTAAAACAAGTGCAGTCCAGTTAAAACCTCCAAAAGTACAACATTAAAAATCGCCAAAACAGTTTGAAACACGCAACTAACAATGTTCAAAAACAGTTTTAAAAGATGGTACAATTTTATCCTTATACTAGTAATAACTTTACATGTTAAGTGATGGGGTGTCTTTTGTACTCTTGAACTTTTTAAAATCTTAAATGTCTTATATATTTTTTTAAAAAAAGTTTTTTGTCGTGGTCTTCGGCTAGCACAACAGACAATGCATTTGATTGGAGATGTTACAATTGAAATGCTCTTTCTTTACAAAACTTAAATTCTCAAAAGCCTATCAGAATAAAAAAGTCTTTACCTGGGGATGGAAGGACAGCAAGGAAGGGGCTACCCTAAGAAGAGAATGCCAGATCCTAGGGCCCCCCCCCGCACCTGAAAAGGCCCTGAGGCTTAAAAAGAAAAAGAAAGAAGAAGTGAAGAAAGACACAGAGCCTGAACAGACAGGCCAAATGAAGTGACTTCCAGTTGCTTTGGAGGCACGCTGTTTAAATGATGCATGCCTCCAAAGTGGCCAAAGCTGCACTTTGGTCCTTAGGACTGGAGCAAAAAGGAGCTGGGATAGTCTGACTCCTGGTGCCCCTGCATCCATGGCCTGCCTTTGGTGCGGGCCATGCAAACAGTAGGGGTCTGACTTGCTTCCGGCCAGAAAAGACTCGGACCACTCTTTCATGCCGGTGTTTCTCACCTCTTCTACAGTCCCATAGCCTGTGGCTCATTCTTAACTTTCACCTAGCTGCATTATTTCTGTCTCAGCTGGTCATAATAGGAACTGTAACTTGAACTGTTATTCCTCCTCTGTCCTCTCCTGCTACTCCTTGCATGCCAAACAAGTCAGATGATTAACCAACAAGCAAAGTGTGTCACGCTAATTACTTTTGCTAAGCCATGCAGGGAGACTTTTTGGCTAGAAGGTGTGGTATAAATGCTTCCAATAAATAATAACCTAAGTCCCACTAATTTGAATGGGCCTATTCAG